AAGTTGAAGCTGGGTTTAGAAGAGGCCATAGCACCAGGGATATTGCTGATGTCAAATGGATCCTGACTGAACTTGGAGAATATAAAAAGAATATTTATCTGTGTTTTTCTGACTGTACAAAGACAATTGGTTATGTGGCTCATAACAAACTATGACCAACATTGAGAAGAATAGAATCCAAGAACACATAACTGCACTCATGAGAAATACATAGTTAGATCAAGAAGCTGCTCTGTGAAGACTGCAAAATAATACTGCATGGTTTAAAATCAGGAAGGGTGTGCATCAGGGACGTATCCTTTCTCCATACTTATTCAATCTGTATGTTGAACAAATGAAGAAAAATGTGGCATAAGAATCAGAGACATACTTGTCAACAACTTGCATTGTGCAGATGACACAACCTTGCTTTCTGAAAGTGAGGAGCACCTGGAATGTTTGCTAGAGAGGATCAAAGACTTAACTTTCAATATGGTTTACACCTCAACTTCAAGAAAACAAATGATCTTACCTCTGAGCCAATAGGCAACATTACTATAGATGGAGAAAGGATTGAAATTGTCAATGATTTCATCTTCCAATCAACATGCTTGTTACCAGTAGCCATGAGATCAGGAGACATATTGCATTGGGCAAGTCTGTTGTCAGGGACCTTGCCAAAATACTGCAGAGCAATGATGTCAGTTTGTAGCTTGATTCAGGCCATGATCTTTTCAATTATTTGTGATTCATCCAAAAGTTGGACAATGAGTAAGGACAACAGAAGAATTGATGCCTTTGAGTTGTGGTGTTGGAGGAGTTCTGAAAGCACAAATATGTCTTGGAAAAAGTATAACCAGAGTGCTCTTTGGATGGTGAAGCTTCATCTCCCATATTTTGGTTATTTTACTAGGAAAGGTTATACCTTGGAAAGGGATATCATGATTGGAAAGATAGATTATCAGAGAAAAAGAGGAAGACCCCCAATGAGGTGGATTGACATAGTGACTGTAGCAATGGGCTCAAGAGTTAAGAAATGGTAAGGATGGCACAGGGTAAGACAGGATTAAGATCTGCTGTTCATAGGGTCACTATGAGTCATACTCAATTCGATGGCACCTAATAACAACAACAAAAATAATTATTTTTTTAAGTGCATGGTAGGGATCTCTGGTTGCCTAGTAGCAAGAAGCTGCACTGCAATCCTGAAGGCAGATGGTTTGAATCCACCAGCTGCTCCACAGGAGAAAGTTAAGCAATCTCCTGTGTGATTAACTGTCTCTGACAACCTGCTGGAGGGTCAGCTATGGGTCACTCCCAACTCGATAGTACACAACAAAAGTGCGTGGTACAAGATTTGATTCTTTAGTCTGTTGTATCTGTCTTCGGTTTGCAAATATCAGAGAACCATGGGTAAGATCGAAGAATGAAAGAAGCGTGAAAATCATTCCCCAAATTATATTCGTTCAACAACCAAAAATAAGAGGAAATGGTGCAAATTATGGTGACTTTAAAAAAAAATTGTCCACCATAGTTTTCAGAATGCTCCACCCAGTGGAAGGTCAGCTATGAGTTGGTTCCTACTTGACAGTACATAATGACTAAGAAATGCCATGAGTGAAGCAGAAAGCTGTTTGTAAGGTAAAAAGAGGCTTTCTCTAAGGTCCTGTTGTGGGAAGGTTTTAATGTAGAAAGCTCTTTTTGTATGATGTCAAAATGATTCTGGCTCACAGTGACCCTGTTATAAGATAGGGCAGAGCTGCCCCATATGGTTTATAAGGCTACATGGATGCAGACTGCCACACCTTCCTCTTGTAGAGAGGAGGTGGTAAGTTCAAACCTCTGACTTTTGAGTTAATAGCCAAGTGCTTAATCATTACACCATCAGGTTTTCTAGAAAATTCTTATCAAATATAGATAAGTGAAAGCTAACCCACCCTAAGTGACTTCTTTTTGCCTAATATGTCTCAGAGAAAGTGCAACCAGAGTGCTCCTTAGAGGCAAAGATGGTGAAACTTTAGGCATGTTGTTATGAGAGGCCAGTCCTTGGAAAAAGGCATCATGCTTGCAAAGGACAGAGAAGGAGAGGAAGACTCTCAATGAAATGGATTGGCAGTGACTGTAACAATGTGTTAGATGGTGAGGATGGAACGGGATAGAGCAAGGATCAAATCCAATGTTCATGGGGGTCTCTGTGAGTCCCAGTCAACTGGATGTCACCTAACAACTCTTTGCCAAATTAATGAACGTGTACCTTCCTTTGTATTCTAAATTATCATGCAATGGACACTATCAGACCATCATTACCTGATAGCTCTTTGAAGGAGGTATTACACAATATACTCAGTGCTTAAAAGGTAAAACATACTTGGACATTCTTCAAGATCTTCTGAAATTCATTATCTTCAGGAGTGAAGCAACGTACTAATTACTATTGGTGAACTAATAGTTGTGGGTCTAGGAAGCCTTTTTGATTCCTAAAAATCCAATGCTTTTTAACACCACGATCTAGTAATATGTAAAAGGTACTCTCACAAGAATACTTTTTAAAATAAACTTAATAATTTTTTACAGTTCCATTTTCCTACCAGCAACTGCTTTTCTATAGGTGTATATTGCAAAGATTTTTTTTTAATTTCAAGAAATATCTCACAAAATTCTTGATATCCTTTGCCCAAACTGTAAAATTTTGGTTTTAATTCAAGTTCTTTCTCTCGCAACTTTGAAATAAATTAACTATTGTTTAGAGACTGTGTCATTGAAAATAGGCTTTCTCTTAGACATATTACTGTGTAAGAAGAAAAGAGAAAAATGGGGATGTGAACCAACATTAGATTGAACAAGAGAGTATCTTGAAGGCTTTCTTGTTTACAGAAACATCTAAATAAGCCCCAGACCCTGTATATGTCATTTTCATTGTAATTAATGAAGTTATGCATATTATTATGTTTCAAATGTTCAAACAGGCTCAGAGGGGGAGAGACACACAATTAAGTGGTAAGTAGAGGATCTGAACACACAGCTTTCTGCTGAGAAATCTTTATGTTTCTACTACGTGGCTTCTGTAATTTCCTTTGAGTTTTTTACTTGTTGAGTTCACACATCATTTTAGTATTTCAAATGGGGCACTATGCAAAAGACTATGTCCCTTACTTTTTTTTTTATTTTTTTGTGTCCCTTACTTTTGATGAGGCCCACCTTATCTCTGTATATTAATCATTAACTTTCTCCAGCAAGAGACAGCACCCTAGTTTTGACACTTCCCCATTTTTTTCACAGCTGCTATAAGCTGATAGTAGAGTCAACTGACTGAATCACTCTGTCACACCACACACACATATAGAGAAAATTTTTACTTTTTTTTTAAACCATAAAGTTATATGCATTTAGACTAAACTCTCTGAACTTAAAAAGAATGCCCCATTGCTTCAAAATTTAAAACTTTAAATAGTTGATGTTAATACTTGCCACCCCCCTTAAAAAATAAATACTGAAACAATGATTTCTCCTGCCATAAAATTCAAATAGATAAGAACATTATAAAGGCATCTAAGAAGTATTCTCAAGGACCCACCCACTAGCTCTATAAGCCACTGTGTGCAGACTAACTCAGTGAAGACCTGGAAGTCTAGTTGGATACTCAACTACCTATAGCATAACCTAGAGGGCTGGAGAAAGAGAGCTTATATTATAGCCCATTTCAACATGCGCTAGGTTCAATATACAACTTTTAAGTAGAAATCCCTAAGGTATTTCTAATAGTATTAGCTGGTGTCCCTTCCTCAAAATATTTCAGCTTATGATTAAGCGTCTTTAAAAAAAGAAAAAATGTAAAGTGTCCATTAAGCTAGCCAACTGCACTGAAAGATACAATATAAATGATCCTCAAACATGTGAATATTTATGACATTTTTGCTGAGATGTATCTGTGTACTGAACTGAAAATCAAACTGGGGAGGAAATCCTGACAGTAGTTACTTTCAGAGACAAGATCCAACACCTGGAAACACTGGACGGAAAAGATAGTTTTGCTTAAAATTTTTTTTAATTATTAACGCCATCCATTGGCAGATTAAAGAACAACAAACGTTTATCTTGTTAGCACATTTGCTTTTTTATTTTTTTAGAATATAGTCTACATCTGGGATTAAAAAACTTTTAAATAAACTTAAGACATACATGACAATAGTGGAACCCTTCATCATTCTATATATAAACGCATAGAATGTCAGTTGGTTCCATTTCGGGTAAGTCCACTTGCTCATGTTATTCTTTTCCACGGGCTGAGTGGCAAGCTTCGTACAGGCCGGCACACTACCAGCTTGCATACACTGGGGTGGGGTGGGGATGCAATGGCAGGGACGGGGTAGAGATGCCACAGGACAACTGTACAGTGTAACAGAAAATTAATAAAAGTAGTACCGGTTACCGACAGACAGTGTGGTTTGTGCGCTTATCATAATGGAATCGCCGAAGTTTCAGAGCAAGAAGATTCGAAATACTTAAGACAGAACCACTGTTAACAAAAAGAAATAGTGCAAACAGGAAAACTGATGCAATCATCTCAAGCCGCCGCCTCCACCAACCCAACAGCAGGGTGGCGGGAGGCTGCGAGCTCCGCCTTCCCCAGCGCCCGGCTGGGGCGGCGCTCCCAAGTGTGGCAATCCAGCGCCGCGCCCTGGCGCAGCCCCTCTCGGTCCTTCTCCGGAAAGAACAGAAAAGAAACTCCAGGAAAGGCACAGATCGAATGCAGGGCTTCAGCCCAGTCCCACCCACGTAGAAAGCAGGTCCCCACCCTGGGGGGACTTTGAGCCTTCTTGCTCCCGCCATCCCCACCGCTTTCCTCTCCCAAAGGAGGTCCCCTCCACCATGCAGCCCCGCTGCATCCCCTGCAAATCCTCAGTCCCCCAACTTTGCAGTCCGCCCTTCGAGCCCCACAGCCAGGAAGATATCGCTTTAGGGAAAGAGAAAGGGTGAGAGACAAGACTAGGGAGGGCATGGGCAGTCGCGAGTGCCCCGCCTCAGTGGCCCCAGTTGCCAAAGCCGATCTCCTGCTTGTATCTATTGGTGAGGATGTTGGCTTTGCGCGTGAGTTTGGAGAGGACAGTGTGTAGCCCGCGCAGATGATAGTGAAACTGCCGCTCCAGGTCTTCTTCACCCGCATCCGCACCCTCCAGGTGGCTCAGGTCCACCAGGATATCCTTGGACTTCCAGGTGTTTCCCTCCTCGCTGCCCGTTGCCGCTGGTGGCTGGTGCAGGACCCCCCACTCGATGTCGTTGCGGATGGACTTGAGCAGCACATAGTGGCTGTACATGTCCCGGGAAGGCGCGAAGAAGCTGCCGTTGGCACTTCCCGGGCCGGGGGCTGGAGGCGAGTGCTCCTCCAGACAACCGCCACTGCCACTCACCTTCACCCCGACATCATTATCTAGCCCGGGCTCAGCCAGAGGCACGTCGCGCAGCAGGCTAGGCACCATTACCGTCTGGTCCATGTTGTTCACAGCGCCGATGAAGCGGTTCATGGCGTTAAAGAGAGAGTGTTTCTGGTTGTAGGTATCACAGATCTGCATCATGGTGGCCGTGCTGACGCCGGGGCACAGAGACACGAGGGTATAGGAATGGACGGCCCAGGCGAGGGGTTGCCCGCCTTTACAGACTCTCTAGCCGGGGCGATGAGATTCTTTGCTCCTCCGCCGCCTGCTCAAACTCTAGTTCCCTGGGTGGCGGGCCCGGAGAATGTGCAGCTTCTCCAGGCTCAGGCCTCTTGAAGCTCGAGAGGAGGTAGGTGGTCGGCTGGTGGAGTTTGGGCCCGACTGGAAGATAAGAACAAAAAAAAAGGTTATTCACCCTGCAGGGGTGCCCCGGACCCCTAAACCCACTCACCACCCTCTCCGGATGCTGCCCGTCAGGGAGGCGCACTCGGGGGCTCTCCACTGCTGGGCGGTTCCACTTCCTTGCCCGCCAAGGGCCACAGAGAGGATAAAGGCGTACATTCGCTCTTCCCCAGAAAAGCCAAAGCCCAAGCACCCACGCTAGCTAGGGCTGCGATGGCGCGGGGCACCTACCTATCTCCTCTTGCGCCCCGAGAGTCCCGCTCGAAGCTGCTTAGCTTGCCTGCCGCTGGCGGCTGTTCCCCACGGGAACTGCTGTGGTCAGTGAGCGGAGTGTAACTGCGGGCAGTGGTGGCAGCGTTAGCCCCCTACCCATCCCAGGTGCTCGATTTATAGCCTGGGCAAGGTGTCGCCGCGTTCAGGGCCACTCCCGGTGTCTCCTCCTCCTGCCTCCCCCAGCAGCGCCCGAGATAAAAGGCCCGGACCGGGATGACCGCGAGTAACACTCTCCTGGCCCTTTCTACCGCGGGGGCGGGGCCTGTCAAGCCGGCTCCACCTCTCGCCTGATACCCGGCGGAGGGAGGGCGCGGGTTCAGGGCAGGGCAGGGCAGCAGGACCCGGGTAGCCGCACCCCGCCAGCGCTGAGCCAGAGCTGGCGGGTTAGTGGAGGGCTGGGCCCCCAGGGGGTGGAGAAGGCGCTGATCTGGGAACCGGCAGGAGGGCGGACTGGCATTAGGGGGCAGGGCAGGCCTGGCAAACACTTCCTGCGCAAAACAGACTAAGAATGCACGTGCCCGGCTTGTAAAGTGAGCCCCCCCACCCTTATAGGGGCCACGGCCTGGAAAGTGTCCCTCCTCCAGGGTTTATTCTTAGCCATCAGGGAAGAAGGACCCACTGCAGCCACAATTCCATCTAGGGATTCTTATGTAAGCAGGGTGGCCAGGCATGCGGGGTGCACGTGGACACTCGGTGCTCCTTTAGTGGCCCTGGCAGCAGCTTGCCCCTGGGGGCGGGGAGCACGGTGGCTTTTGCCACTCTCTCTGGCTGTCTTTCCTAATCTTTCCGGTAACAACTGCGCCAGGAATGGAGAGTGGCCCACCATTCCCTCTACTGCTTTTTCAAGAGGCCAGAAAGTAGAAGTAGGGAGAAGTGGCCAGGTGCCTGACCTTTTTGTGCAAGTCCACTACTAAGACTCAGAGCCCTGTGGCCTTTTGGAGAGGGTTGACAGTAGTTAAGCCTGGTATTTGATGCATTTCATCATTTAACTGAAAAGTGAGGAGGTGTCTGAGAAGTTTTGGGGGTTTTTTTTTGGTTGGTTTTTTTTTTTTTCAGGAGAGTGAAATGTTCTTTTCAGAAGTTTCTTCTTAAATCACAAAGTTATTTAATGGAACCTAAGCTGTCATGTAGCAAACAGCTACATGTCCCCAAAACGCAATTTGGAATTGTTGATCCACAGCGTTTTCGTGGGAGGAGGGTGTGTGTGTGTGTGTGTGTGTGTAGTGTTGGTTTTGTGTCTTTAACCATCCCACTTCCCTTGCCCCGTTGTTCCTCATTCCCAACTTCTGGAACAATCCTGCAGATAATTATGTTCCTCGAGATTTTTTACATCTACATGTCTTTTCTCAAAAACCTTTCAGGAGTACTTTTAGTGTGTAGTTTTCCTGCAGGACAAAAAAGGGCTAAAGATGGGAGCACAGCATTTAATGAAGTTCTTAACATCCTAATGATCTGGATGTGCACTGTGGCAAACCAATTTTCATAATTGCCTCTTTAATGTAAAGTTGACTTGGTAGAAAGAGGAGTGGGCCTGTGGACACTGGGTCAGCAGTCACCTAGGAACTCTGAAGACACTCTCCCACCAAACCCCAACCTCAATGTGTTAGTTCTGGATAGTTTTTTTTACCTGCTCAGCCTTTGTGTTCATAATCCATTAGAGTATGAAAAGAGAGATAGATGTAGTGGGGAAAGAAAAGTGTTATATAAATGTGAAGCATTAAAGTAAGCTCCCCCACCTCCTTTACACATAGAGATTTAGAAACACTGCCAGCAAAAAGCAACTCTAGTGATGTGAATTTAGAGTTAGATGGCTTGGTTAAAAGGTTGGTACTTGTCTGTGGCAGCAGTCTGCTCCCCTGAAGCCTTTCAAAACCTCGAAAGCTGGAATCTACTCGGCTCTTGGTTGTTAGTTTTTTCCCTAACTCAGTTTTCTTATCAATAAAATGGTGCCAAGATTTGGGTTAAGGTTAAATAACTTAATAAATGTAAAAAAATAAATCCTACAGCACTTTATAAAGGTTAATTGAACTTAGCGTAGGCTCTTATCATGTGTCTAGAAACCTTGACAAGCTGGAAATGGGCTACAAAGGGCTTAGCGAACAAGAGACTTCAAAATAGTCCAGGCCGGTTTTGAACCCTAATGTTCACGGAGATAAGAGGAACACTGGCGAAGGGGGAGGGAAAAAGACGTATCCCATTTTCAGTCGCTCTTTTTCTTTCATAAGTTAAACCATATTCTGCTCCCCCGCCCAGACTCTCTAGGAATTTTAAATGTATATATGTGACTGGATAGAAACTTGAAATATTGCCAACTTGAGTTTTATTAAATGCTGAAATTCTGCCCCTTTTCTCCTAGTTGCAAGTATGCCAGTAGCTCAATGAAAACGGTAATTGGTGCCATCTAACAAAAAGGATCCCAGCAACAACAACAAAAAGGCCAGCTTGGGAGAAAGCCCCTAAGTCCTTCCTTTTGGCCTCCACCCCTCTGATGTATTTCCTTCCCGCCTTCTGGTCTCGAGGTCACTTTCCATCCCCAGTTTCTCTACTTTGACCCATGTTCTTGCGCATTTCTTAAACAATATGAGAGAAAGATGTCTCATGCACCTGCCTGCAAAACTTCCCAAACCGGGCCTCCCTGCTCCCCTGGGCCCGCGGAACAACTCACACCCACTGGGGTAACTCCGGAACGAAAGAGGTCTCCGGGCCAGGGCTCAGGGCTCTTGGAATCACCCCACCACCGCCCCTTTGGCTTCAGCCAATCACTAGCCGTCAGAGAATACTATGCAAATTATCTTCATGCCCCAGCCAGTCAGAAGCCACGCCGCCCCACTTCAGCATCCTCTTTCACCCAAGTCTCGCAGAGCTGGCGGCCCGCGTCCCTGGCAACCGGCGGGCGGCCAATTTTCCCTGATGTGCTGTTGGAAAAAAAAATTAAAACTGTTCCTTGGGGTCACGTGGGAGCGGAGCTGGTGGGCCCTGGCGGGCGAGCAACTTCCCTATGTCTACTGGACCAGGCAGGAGATAATGAGCAATTGGCCCAGGTCTCAGTTTGCCTCCAGAAAATAAAGGAAATTTGTTGAGACAATAACTTTTAAGCAAGGAGTGTTTGGTAGGCTTTATTCCCTTTATAAACCCTCCACTTCTGAGGTTCTGGGCCCACTTCATTTCTTGAAACACTGCTCCAACTCTGGAATGCTTGTTTCTCACTTCCCTTCACCAAACAGAAATCATGTGTTGCTGACCCAACTCCCCCACAATCTCCAAATTACCCATTCTGCATTGCCCCTTTAATAGTTTGGGAAGAGATGTCATGTTAAATCATGACCAGAAAGTCCTAAGCAAAATACACAGAAAGAATAAACTAGTAGAAGAAAGTGGTTTGGAAACATGAGACATTTAGCTTGGACCTGGATAGTGGTATAATTTCAAGACTAGAAACGAGTCAAAGCTTAGAAAGTTGTATCCTGCACCACAACAAGATAAAGGTAAATAATCCAATTAAAAAAAAACAGGATATGAACAGGCATTTCACCGAAGACGACATTCAGATGGCTAACAAACACATGAAGAAATGCTCAAAATCCCTAGCCCTAAGAGAGATGCAAATTAAAACAACTATGAGATATCATTTCACCCCAGTCAAAATAGCAAAATTTAACAGAACAGCAAGCAACAAATGCTGGCGAGGTTGTGGAGAAACTGGAACCCTGATTCACTGTTGGTGGGAGTGTAAAATGGTGCAACCCCTGTGGAAAGCAGTATGGCGCTTTCTCAAAAAGTTGCAAATAGAGATACCATTTGACCCAGCAATTCCACTACTGGGAATATACCCTGAAGAGACCATAGCTGACATCCAAGCAGATATATGCACACCCATGTTTATTGCAGCTTTGTTCACAATAGCAAGGAGTTGGAAACAACCTAAGTGCCCATCAAAAAATGAATGGCTAGAGAAGCTGTGGTATATTCGCACAATGGAATACTATGCTGCATTAAAAAACAAGGAACTCATGCAATATTATTCAAAATGGTTGACTCTGGAGAACATTATGCTGAGTGAAATATCCCAGTCACAAAAGGACAAATATGGCATGATGCCACTGTTGTAGAATGGGACTAACTTCGGGGTTGGGGAGAGACTGAGTAAGATGGGTTCAATAATGTACACTGCACTGAAACAGAGGAGGGAGAAAACTGTTTAAAAGAGATATGTGACTAGGTATTTCTGTCAACACAGGAGTCTAGAGCGATGGCTACATGGTGGAGGGGACCTGGGGGAGGGTTTGTAAAACAATGAAAGAATCTTTTCTTTTACTTTTCCATAATTTTTGACTCATGTACTTATAACTTGCTAGTTAAATTTGTGTCTTCTAGGTTGCAACACGCCCATGATACATCTTCAAGGATATGAACATGTACGGCTAAGCACAATTAATAACAGTGCATCTAAATTCCAAAATCAATCT